AGGCCATCAGGAGTACTTGGAATCCCACAAAAATTAAAAAAATGTCACTTGTATTCTTGAAAGTTTTGCTTTACTTTTGAAGGGGAAAGTGTACCTACAATTTCAAGAAATACTATTAACAAATGTGTGAGAGAAATAATGGTATTTGCGTTGGACTAGGAGGTGCGTGATAGACTTACCTCCACGGGGTACACCCTAGGCAACGTAAATTCATACGGCAAGGAAAGTCTATACACCGGCAGTTGATTTCTGACTTCAGACTGCCATGACCCCACTGTATGTCATATTCGACTACTTTCACAGTACTCACCTTACCTTTTTCTCTAAATTTGTATCTGTCTCTCTTACATCTGTGAATCACTTTTCTGTTCCCCCTCTCCACTTCTTGGGACTTTGTCTGTTCCTCCCCTCTGTGAAGCCAAAAATCAGCTAAATGGCCAATGATAACTAGCATAAGGCCTATCATTTGATATAAGTATTTCCTAAAAAGAGAGATTGTCGATTGCTCAACCAGTTGAAAAATTGCTCTAAATTTAAAATTTGGGCCTATTATCACTTTCAAGATTCATGTTTGTTGAATTTTTTTATCGTACTTTTGAATCAAACAAATCACTGAGTTTAGGCACCCATTTTTTCGGGAAAATACAAGTTTACATGTTTAATTCTTGGCTAAGAATGATTGGTTGTGCTTTACTTTTATTTAATTATGGAAAATCATTTAACACGAGGGGATACCTTATTGTAGCAATTGATAAGACGCGCGGGTTATAATTTAATTGATCCGTATATATTCAGGAGTTATAATGTTTCCCATTTAAAAAGCCACTTATCACATTTAACATTCTTATACAGCATGATGAAGGGAAGTAGAAATGACTAAATGTTTTGTCACACATATTTCATATTTCCCAACAAGTTTCTCCGTTGACAACACAAGGAATCGAGACTTCATCAGTAACAATAATAAAACTTGGTGCTTAAGTTTCCTTTCTATATTTAATAAAAAAACAATTTTATAGTAAATAGGTACTTTCAGGAATATAACCGGTATCTAAAGCCAAATCAATCATTTAAAATAGACTAATTTGGGGGATTAAAATCGAATTAATAATGACTTTGTCTGAGTGTGATTGATGCTGATGCGATAAATACTTGTTATCCACTGGAGCATAATCATTAGTCGATATGACTCATCATAGCTGCTATAATTAGTAGAAGGGAAATCACGAAAGTCAGCTGTGTGCTATCTGTAGGCCCAAGACCGGTATTGGAGCTCTTTCAATCAACGAACTGAGGAATAATTGTATTTGCAGTACGGGTTTGTGAGAGTGCTTTTCTATCACCTTGATATTGTGCTTGCAAGTGAGTGAGAAATCCTGTTGACTGCCAACTGAAAGTTACGTCAAATAGCGTCTCGACAAGGCCAAAGACATGAGTGCCATTACCGCAAGAGCTTCATGACCAATTCAAGTCAATTCAATGTCTTCGTAGAAGTGCAGAAAGCGTGGAACTGATTTTTAAATTCCATTATACCAAAATGCCTACGTTTTCTAAGTGAGTGGTCACGCATTTTCTAACTTGAAATTAAAAAAAAAATTTTCATGGTCATTAAGGTAAGATGGACAAATTGGCGCCAATTGAAAGTTAGCTTCAGCTGAAATAGTTGGTAACAGAATCAGTAAATAAAATAAGTTCAGATCGTGTTTTGTAAATGACGTCATATGTAATGGAATCGATAAGGTTCTAAGTTGATAGGCATTAATGCAACAACTATTTTTTCAGGTTAACTTATGAATTAATTAAATTTTTTGCGGGCCTTGGAATGCCAAAACGCGTACAATTCCAGTTGCTATGGCAAAAAGAATCGGGGCACACCAAATTGCGTGCATTACCATAATGTGAATTCCACCTCGTGCCATATGAAGTGAATTTTTTGGTGCAAACAAAATTTCTGCTTTGCTTTAGTTCAAACGCAAAGCTGAGTTTACCTAAATGC